AATTTCTTTCTATATTTGTTGGAATGTTAAGTCCAAAATTAGTAATCTGAGCATTAATGAATGAAGTCACGATGCACAAATTTTTCTTCGTAAATTGTTGCTAGATCACTGATAATCCAATGTAAATATTCGAATGTTTTTGCCAAATTAAATTTTCGTAGTTGGAATTGATATAATTGTGAAGGACATCATCTCTTGCATAAGTCATTACTATTGAGCATTCAGTCATAGTTGGGTTTTTAGTTATCCCATAATAATCAAAAAACAAGTATTTAAGAGTAGCCTGCATCATTTTGAAAAAAATTTAATTGTATTAGACTAAAAAGTAATTTCGCTTTATTTTATAAACGCTTGAGTGATTTACTTGAGTTGTGTAATGATTTCAACATAGTTTCATGTCCTTTCTCACCGTTTAAATTTATCTCTTTCATGTTCCCATTTGGAATATTAATAACCATCCAATAGTTCATCCAACCAGGTTGCTTTATACATTGTCTGAAAACACACTTTTGCAAGATGTTCAAAGTTAGTAAATCTTCAAAGAAACCAATTTGAATAATTTATTGATTATTAATTTTGTAGATCACGCAAATTTAGCCACATCGACATAAATTTGTTTGCGATTTTGAAACAGTGAACGCAGTATCTAGTCTCTTGATATTTAGTAAATTTACTACAATCATGAGTATTCGATTCAATCTTTGAGTACGCTTTGTAAATCGCGTTTATGCAGTATTTAACTTCACATGATGTGCATATAGAGAATAACGTACTTAATAAATTTTATTAGATGGTATTACATATAACTTTTGGAAATCATATTCTGCATGTATTACAGTCAATTTGCTCTCTAAGCGCACAGTACCATCTGTCCCACGATGTGACTTATAAACGAGTGCATATTCTTTATTTTGTAAATACACATTACATGTATTTTCAGTTTGCCCATAAATACAAACAATAATTAAACTTTTTTATTTAATTCTTCATTTGTATCATATATAATAATCTCTTTTATTTTTTTTTACATAGATATTACTTTTTTTAGGATAAAAATTCACACTTTGTACTTTAGGATTTCGCGAAACTTGTATTGAATTATCATTTATAATGCAGATAGTGCGTAATAACGAAACTGTATATATAGGATCACTTTAAACGTCCAAAGGGCAACGTGTGGTTTGAAGAAAAATAACCAAATAAATTACTGAGCAAATTCGATGATTTTGCTTCTTTTGCCATAAACATTAATGAATTTCCTTCGATTGGTTGATTATTTTCCTTCGATTGGTTGATTATTTGATTGTGATTTGGTTTTATTGTTTTGGAAAAAATCTATTTTATTATTTGAATTAAATATTATTTAAATTGTGTCATTACACCTTTTGTTATTTGATTTAAAATTTATTGTTTATTATTTCTTGTTAATTGTTTTATATTCCTATATTTTACCTTGACCCTTGATTGTATAATCTCCGTGAAAATATTGGCATAGAAAACCATAGGATCTTAGTACCCCATTATGTGTAATTATTCAGTCTAGCCTTGTTACATCTTCAATTCTTTAGTTAACTAACTTTGAGTTGAGTGCAACAATACGATTTAATTGGGTTGTCATCAATACATCCCTCTTACCTAGAATCCCGACATACCCGCGATCCCAACATACCAAAATCCAAAAATTCCAAGAGCCCAAAATTTCAAAGTACTCAACATGCGGTCATGACCAAAATCTGACATACCTAAATCCCGACACGCCATGAATTCTGAATTTTGGGAATAATTTTTATCAAAACCTTATCGATATATATAGCAACAATGTTTTACTACATAATACATGCATTGAGCGTAGAGTTAACTTATTAATTATGAATGCTGTATATGTACTGTACATGTACTTAATAAATAAAATCAAGATTTGGCAGACTTCTAAAATTCTGCATTCAAACTTCAAAAAATCTTAGATAATAGATATGCATCTTCTTCAGAGCAGAGAGTTTTGTACTAATCGGTTACCACCTCGAAATTCACATTTTGCATAAATTGGAATTATGTATTTTAAATTCGAGAACGGGGACTGTATCTTTATGGTCTGTGTAAAATATCATTATTACATTGAGAATGACCAGGTGACGAAATTATATAATTCCAAAAGCATGGAATACTAAAATCATCATGATTTCTGGATTTCCTGTATCGGGATTTCGTTCGTTCTTTCGGGATTCCGATCATTTGGAATGTCCGTTTGTTCGGGATTTTGATCGTTCGAGCTTATGAACTGTTGGGATTTTGAACGTTACCAAAATTCATATTTAAAATTTGATATATATTAATTTGTTGAACAAGAAAAATATGATTATATTATATTTATAAGCTATTAATAAAATTATAAAGCATATATATATATATATATAACTAAATCAATTTATATTGTGAAAATACTATGTAAAATTAAATATAAAATCATCTTATATTCCATAATTTTACTTAAAATCAGTTTTTATGTTTTATTAATCTCTAATTTTTTTCTATAGATCATAAATAAAGATATATATTTAGCGCCGATGGAAGATTATAATCTTTCATTTTTAATTTATTGGCTATAATTAACCACTGACAAAACATCAGTATACATATAATAGAGAATGAAGTGAGATTTTTCTGTGAATTTATTATGACGATGAGTAAAAATATTTAGTAGACATCTTATTTGTCTATAAATTCAATATCGAAAATTTCTATCAATTATTTAGTAAATTTATAGAATTTAGTTTAGCTTGCTATGATAAAGAATAGTTTCATGTATATAACCAATGTTATAAAGTGAGGAGTCAATATATTGAGTTATTGCCTGTCCAAAACTTCCAGTCCTGACTCAGGTTTTTCATTTTCAACTACCTGATTTCACGTTTATTAGTGTCTTGAATTGATATTAAGTTTTGTTTTAATAAATGATAAATAGAATTAAAGTCTAAGAATCTTGAAAAATAATTTTTTTGTTGGTTTGGAACATGAAAATTCGGAATCAAAAATTAATTTCCAAAAAATGAGACGTTCTTAAGTAATTATGTTCATGTGAATATAATATCGATATGACTACTATGTAGATTATAGTGTTAAAAAAACAAATATTTCCAAGTAGGAGGCTTGGTTTCCTAATTTATCTGAACAACTGATCATACTACAAAATAAAATTTAGAAAGTTAACTCACTATCGTTACATAAAATAAATAGTGGGATTTCGTATGCATGACTTTCTCGGCGCGGGTAAATATCCGAACCCATCATCGTTAGTATCAAATATTCGTAATCTTAATAATTTAATTAGAATTTTGAAAATGCTCCAACTCAAATTTTAATCATTTTGTGAGTTGTCTATCTATTTTCGATTAAATAAGATATTTAACATTCAAACTCATAACGCGCGCGAAGACTAAAACAGTACAACATCAAGACGAAAACTTAATAAAAGTGTCAATTCTCAATCCAAACGAAGGAAAAAAAAACATAACATCAGTATTCCTTATGTTGCGGAATTTTTAGGAAAGCTATGATAATTCCCAAATAATAGCTTTTAAAATGACATTTACCACGTTAATGCTCGTAATGAGAGCATTTATCAGTCGCGATAAATTTATGTAAATAAAATTCCAGAATCAAGCAGCATTATTTGTGGTCTTCAATATTAGAATGATAAAATGGCGAATGTTCAGGTGAAGTGTAAGGCATTGGGGAGAAAAATTCAGGAGTGGTAAGGATCATCAAATTGTTATTTTTGTGGCAACAATAACAATAACGATATTGTAATAGTTGCACATTTAAAAATTTTAAAAAGACGGCGGAGACGGCGGCGGCGGCGTTTTAGCAGAAGATAGGAATGTCTGTTTTGGTTTGAATATAAGAATTTGTGTTTCAACATCGGTATCAATTAAATTGTTAGGTTGCACAGTATCTGAAATTTATGCAATCTGATCAAAATGTACATGTAATATGCATATGCGTATGATATACATGCACACTTGGATACTTGAAATTGTGATTTTCTTAACCGTAACAATCTAAATACATGATTATATTCACATGCAAGGAACGAATAATCCCGCACAACTGTCGAGATAACTCTTCTGGACAATTCACTTATGAGAACCGCTTTTTAACAAACGTTTTATGGTTGAAACGATTTCATAAATATATGTAATACTAACCACGAAGCTTAGAAATAAACGGAACCTTCAAAAGACAAGTTTGATGATATATAATTTTGCAATGATAAACTCATTATTCATATTTCAAAGTACGTATCGCTTCCTTTATTATTACGTTAAAATATTTTCTCGAAGACAAGGTGGTTTTAAGAAAAACCCTATCTTTATCATGTTTCTCATCGTCCAGACCGCTAATACATATTAATACACGAAAAAATTCCAATTCACACAGAACAAATCACTAATTACATGTATTAATTTTTGTCAAGGGAAGATTTTTCAATAATTAGTTATACAAAAACAATGTGATGTGAATATGCAACATTTTCGAAATAATTTCATAAATCTTTTTTGAGATCACAAATGGGAACAAGCGGAAGCGACATTTGTAAATTTTTATACCGAACCCACATATTTCAAACAAAAATTGTGCTTTACGTCTTATAAAATAAAAGTAAACAAAAAAATCACACGATTCAGTGCATCTATACCCAAATCGGCGATACTACAATAAATTTTTATCGTTCAATTACATTAATATCTGCTTACCTTTTTCTTTTTTGCGTGGATTTATCGTTCCCTTGCTGCTCAAATGTTTCTGTGCTACGCCAATCAATAATTCTGTATTGCGTGTGATTGGTTATGAATAATTATTAAATTGAGAGTTCTGCCTACATTTTTGTCAATTATTCACTTGTCTACTTTCTTTTCACACTTGAAAAAAGAAAAAAAATTTTATTTTCAGGCAGCATACTTTATATTAATACTTCACAGGTTAATACATATACTTTTAATATGCACAGTCAGCTCGGAGACTCTTCTTCAATGAAAGGTTAGTTATTGGCACCGCTATACTTTTAAAAAACATAGTCTAAACATTAAAAAAAATGTTTCAAATGTTTAATTGCGCAAGAAAATTCTAATAATATCATTGCTCATTGTATCAGAAATTAAAGAGGAATACAAAATCTCGAACAACATACAGCTTTTCACCCCGACAGACTCTTCTGAAGATTATTCGTCAGATTCCACTATTCCATCTTCTGAAAATTATTTCTCAGACTCCACTATTCCGTCAAGTAACGCTACTGTCACGGGGGATGACGATGAATTTGACGACGAACTGTACCTTATGAAATATGCGTATATGAACGATATTGAAAATAATATCGAAACATACGGCGAGGAGGTAACAAGTATCGAACCATGCAAAGAAATTCTTACAGAAACAATAGATTGCATGCGACATGAACGTAATAATAAAAGAAGTCGAAAAAATCTACATCCAGTGAGGTCACCAGATAAACAGAACAACAATAATATCAATGATAGCGATGATGACTCAGCAGCAGCATTCTACGGTACTTGTGTCGTCTATGATATATTTTTTCGAAATCCAATTTTGCTATTGTCGGATAGTAGCTCGTTGGAAAAGAATAGTGAAAATAACTTAAAGTCAAGAGCCCAAACAGAGATTCGTGCATCGAAAAGTTTTAAAAAAAGAGTAAGTGAATTTCTAGGATACATGTATTATTGCTTTTTTAATTATCGAAAATAGATAATAATCTTACTTTATTTTTCAAAGAAATGCTGTTAAAAATAAGAAGAATCAGAGATCCGGCTAATGGCTCATATAATTTCGATTTATAGTGACAAAATCTCATTTCTTTTTTCGCTTTATTTTTTTCTTCAATCAATAGAAAATTAGTTACAGAAAATTTATTGATTTTCCTATGTATGTTGTTCTAACATTTGATTTGATCAAAGAACATGTAATGAGAAGATCAAAGTTAGGGAGGTAAAAACCACTACCATCATTTGATATGCAGTTCATAAGATTTTCTCGACAGTTCTGCAAACGATTAATTTACATGATATTGGATGCTTTGATTCGTCATCATTACATGTATTTGCGTTTGAAACCAATGGGTGAAATTGAAAATCCTAAGTTTCACATTTATTCTCCCCATTTCTGAGAGAATTTAAAAGATGTTCATACACTACGTAATTACAATCATGTCCTACCCTAATAAATCGCACAAGTCAATTTCAAGTCAATTATATAAAACGAAGCTCAACTTCGCAAACAAAATAAAAATTTTACCTTCACATTTATTTTTAACAAAATACATGTATTCAATAAGTATTTTTGTTCTACGCATTTTTGTTGCAGACATATTACCATAAAAGAATCTATTCTTGCCATTCTTTCTGGGTTACAGTGTATCTACTTGTTTAGTATAAAGAAAAATTAATCGTTCTCAAAACACTAGAAAATTTTATGAAACTTTTTGTCTAAACTTTGGAGTTTTAAAATGATTTGAGTTCTTTCCAAAGCATAAGTCGTTAACGATGACTAATTAAATCAAATTGCTAGAATTCTTAACGTCTGTTTGATTCTCGAATTCAAATTGAAGTTGTCGAATTTTAATATTGGCCATTCAATAGAGCATACTCCATTGGGACGGTTTATAAAAAGAAATTTCCACCTGAAAAGTCTAAATTCGGAAAAGTAAAATTAGTAATTATAAAAAATATTTTCAAATGCTTGAATCGAAATTTCATTAAATAATGGAATTACATACTCGTGTCTAAAAGATTATAATATATGTGCCTGCATGTTATGGAGATTTCAACATTATGAAATGTTCTTTACTTAGAGAATTTACATCAAAAAGCCTGACTGATTGAAGGTAGAAACTTGCAATTTATATAATTTCAATGCTTGATGAATCATAAATAATCACTTTTATTATTTAAAATACATGTAGTACTTTTTTATGATATATCTTAGCTTCCTGACCTCATATAATTTACTATACCTTTATTAAAGTGGGCAGCTTTAAGGAGTATTACATGTATTTTCAATTTTTTGTCAGAATGCCAGAATGAGGGAATTTTGGTACATACTGAAACGTAATTATGACGTAGGATACTCTAATAAGTGTAGTTACATAAGTTCATGTACATAATAAGATACAAAGAGATGTTCTACATTAAAATACAAATGGTGGTAGAGGATAGTTAATACAGCATACATGCATATCGTTATATATCAAAGATCCCTGTACATGTACTACGTGTAATTAGAATCTTGCCATGTCAATATCGATTTAGGTATTCAAACTTAAAATTTTTGTTTCATTATACCACATGTACATGTACATTTATTACACAGATAAGGTGGTATTATATTTGTTATAAATAGTTCTATCTCTAACCAATAATTAGTACATGTAAGCGCGCGCGATTTTGCATATGCGTATTGCGAAGTGCATTTCAGAAAGATAATAGTCACAGTTCTCGGATTAGATTCTGTGTGACCCAGGCTAACATG